GGAAAAGTCAAATACTGTCAGGTTCATGATGTAGTGCTTCACTTCTGCTTGGAGAAGAGTAGAGAGGAAAAGTTTATGCTAGCAGTGAAGGGGCCATCTAACCAGTTTCAACCTTTGGATTCGGAAGGAAGTCAAGTGAGCTTCTCTTTCGGTGAATATATTTCCAAGTTTGCTTCTCTGGGCTTCAAAACACAGAAGCCTTTCCACCAAAACTTGAGGTCACTGATAACGACCAATCAAGGAAAATCTATTGAAGGGATTCCCTTCCATCAGGTTAGCGAATTGAGACTTCTTAAGGTCTTGGATTTGAGTTCTCATAATGTGGATCGTTTGTCGTCAGTTACTTTCAAACCACTAAATCACCTAAAGTACCTTGCAGTTTGGGTAAATAAATATGATTTTCATCCGGAATCACATCTGCCCCATATAGAAACTTTAATTGTGAAGAATAATTTTAATACAGTACTGTTACCAGCGTCTATTTGGGAAATGAAGAAATTAAGGCATGTTGAGATTGCTGAAGCTGTGTTTGGTAAGCAGGGGATTTTTGAAGAATCCTCTAAATTGGAAAATTTGAGGATATTAAGGAATGTTAGATTCCGAATTGATGAAGTTGATAGGGTGGATGTGTTATTAAGGAGGTATCCTAATCTTCAACAACTTCACATCGGCTTTTGGGGCAATGATGATTCTGCAGAGCCTTTTTGTCTCACATTGGAGAATCTTACCCAGCTTCAAATACTTCGCCTTTCCTTTCAGTGGTCCCACATTGTATCCGGGTTACAGTTCCCTTCAAATTTAAAGAAGTTGGTACTATTCAGGACCGACATAAAAAGTGTGATTTCCTTCATTGCAGGACTACCAAGCCTGGAGTATCTCGAATTAAAAGATCGGTATCTTATAGAAAATGTATCGCATTTTTCTCAATCAGAAGAGTGGTGCATTGGAGATATCATGTTCCATAAACTTAAGTTCTTGAAATTGGTGAACTTACGTATCTCACGGTGGGATGCCTCGGAGGAATCCTTTCCCCTTCTTGAAACACTTGTTATAAAAGTTTGTTACAATCTCGAGGAGATCCCCTTTAGCTTTGCAGATATTCCAACACTGAAACAGATTAAGTTGATTTGGTGCAAGAACGAATCTCTGAAGGCTTCAGCTGTGAGAATTAAGGAAGAAGTCGAAGAGAATGAAGGAAACGACCGTATAGATCTCATCACTATCTAAGTAAGTAGAGAAAAACTCTATGTTCCATTCATTTTTCTATTCAATGCTTGCTTTCCCTTAACTGCTCTCAAACTAACAAAGATTTAGTTGAATTTGACAACTGCAGCAAAAGCAACAGTCTATTCTGCGGCTAGCCGAAACACCCATGCATCCTCTTATATTGTAACACTACTACCAATTGCTAAGTATTTGTGTATGATTTCTTGTTGCCTTCTGTAACACTGTCAAAATTATTGTTTTGTATTTTATTTTTTAATAGTGATTGTTTTTCCCAGTTAGATTTCTATAATCCCTTCATCTTACACCTTATATGCAGCACTACTTGCAAAATTCAATTAAGGATATACGTACACAGGTTATTTTCTGGTTGAATACAACAATCATCATTCAGTAATTTAGAAATTTAGCAGCAGAGAGTACTAAGGTGAATTGAAAGATAAGTCTTCCTGTATGAATGCTAATTTGCATATAGATTCAAATATTTTGGTAGCTTAATACCAAATGATAATATGTATGAGTGCATGTATAAAAGTCATCTATGTTGTTCGGACTCATCAAATATGTCAGCCTTCCGCGTTGGAATTCACATAGTGCAATTTTAAAGGATCCGACAATATGGGTGCTACAATATTTTTAGTGAGTTTGAGCATCATAGGAAGCAAGATAGATGTCACCTGTCAAACCCCTAATCAGCTTTCCAAGAGGACAATGGTGGATTCTCTGAATTTTATCCAGGTTGACAACACGTACACTTGTCTCTTACCTTTGACACTCTCAACAGAGGCATAAGACTGCAATGTTTTCATTGAAGTTGTCAATCTTTGTAGTGTAGGGCATGAATCATCTAGTACAACCTCAAAGATCATTTTAGGATTCAACCACAAGGTACTTATGCCTTTGAAATTAACTATCTGCTACCTTCCAGGATTTAAGGTCTGTCCTTTCAATCCACAATACATGTGATCCCTGATCGTCCCACTAAATGTTTTTTTTCTTTTAGCTTTAGGAGCTCAAGGCATTCCGACTTCCCAAATCTACTCGCGTCACTATAAGCAAACCTTACATTTCATAAATTTAACTTCTTCAGCTTACGTAGAAGTATCTAGATCCGATATAGAACTAGTGCAACATGTTTTTTCTTGACCATCAGCTCTTTTCTGCACTGCTCTGCTATATATCCTTGGGGCTGCCGTTTTAAGGTTGAGTTTATGAATCCCTCGTAAATCCATAAGCGAATCAACTTCCAAGCAGGGATTTCAAAGGCGCCATAATATAGGAAACACGCCTTCATCTCTTCGGATAGATGACCATAACTCATTTCCACAAATTTCAAGCAGTTTTTCGGGTCATCTTTAATTATTTACAAGGCATTTTCCACAATTTGAAACTTTCCTCATCTCTCAGAAACTTCAATTGGGGAAATTTGATGGTTTTCATAACTTGTGGATATTTTATTCCCATGAGAAAAAAAACTGATCAGAATTGCATGTCCAATCAAAACTTCAACTTCATATCAATATGATTTGACATCTCCTGTTCAAACGAGCCCTAAATTTGCATTTTTTTATAATTTTTTATCATACTTGTTTTATCATTCAAATCTTTCATGGCGAAAGATCGATCAGCAGAATGGATCGATTTCTATACATTACATGGATAGTTAGGTTGAACAAAATGCTTATTGTTTAATGGTTGTTGAACTATTACAAAAAAATAGTTGAATAAGGTCAGTTTTTATATTATTTTATTATTATTTTTGTATTTGTGAAGTCATTGTTTCTGTTTTGGCAGAATGGTCTGGTGGACCCTTGTACTTGTATAGGATTGTATTATGGACCCTTCTACTTATCTCTTTGTCATTTGGACCCTTGAACCCATCCAAACCCAATATTTTAAACACTTTTTTGGTTGTGGTATGGTGCGTGTTGCACAAACACGTACACGTTGGCCAAAAAGGAAAAAAATAATCCACGTATGATATTATATTCCACGTGGCAAATGACTCACGTTAAACTAAAAATAGTCCAACCCCGGTGAAATTTTCCAAACCTTCGCGACTTTTCCACTTATCCTCTCCGCGATTTCTCCATTAATAGCACGTTCGTCTGTGATTTTCCAAACCTTTGCTCAGTTCCACTCCGATTTTCGTTGCAAGTTCTTGCCTTTTGCGTTAATTCTGATTTTTTTCATTTTCTCGTGCGTATCTGTTTGATTTTAGGGTCGATTGTCATTCGATTTTCTGAAATTTTTTGGAGATTTTTACTTTGGTTTGGGTGTAATGTTCGTGTAATATGCTTTTCTTAGTTGATGTACGACTTCGAGTGACTTCAATGGCATATTTCGTGAATTCGAGTAGATTCTAGGGTTTATTCGTTAAATCCCAATTTCGACTAAAATTAATATTTTATTTTTGGTCAATTGTCTTGTGTATTGATAGTGTTAGTGGTCCACTGTTACAACAATTCATTATTTCCTTCAAAAATTAGGGCTTTTTGTGTTACAGTCATGCTAAGTTTATGGTTTAACTGTACTTATTTTTTTTTACTTTACAGGCATCGTAAGGTAATGGCTTTAACTATAGTGACACTTCAATTTCACTATGGGGGATGTTTTGTATCTGTTCCTACTTTAAGGTATGCCAATGGAATCACTAGTGTTGAAAAGATTAATATAAATGTAGATGAATTGCATATTATGTTGTTTCATAAAATAGCACTGGAATTGGGTGTTGAAAATGTTGAGACATTTGAATGTAGAGTCAACAAGAAGGGTACTTTGTACATGTTAAATACTGATTCTGATGTTTTAAACTTTCTTAATAGTTTGAAGGGTGCTGATTTTGTTGATGTATATGGTGTACATCCCATTAGTATACATTTAGTTGTTGAGGAGATACTTGTATTGCCTAGCACTAATGTTGATGTGTCCTCATCTCCACAACAAGATAATGTTGATGTGTCCTCCTCCCCACACAAAAATAGGGCTGATTTGTCATCCTCCCCACAAATAGATAAGGTTGATGTGTGTTCATCTCAACCATTTGATGAAAATGAAAATAGGGATTTAAACCAAAATCAGTCCCATTTAGTTGAAGAGCAGTCCCCTTTAGTTGAAGAACAAGCCCCTGCCCCTAGAGTTGAAGAACATTCTGATTCTGATTCACTCTATGATGTTGATGAAAATATTGATGATTTGAGTGATTTGGATGAGGAGTTGCTTCAAGCTAGGCAGTCTAATATTCAAGAACAAGTTAAAAAGAAGACTGACAGAGTAAATCTAGATGAGATGCCATCTGGTCCTGTAGGTATAGATGTTGGTTTTGAAGACATTTATAAGGAGAGGAGGGGGAGATTTGAAGGCAATTTGGGTGGTGATGACCCTTATTTTGATAGCTCAGATCCTGGTAGTGACATTAGTGAAGATGAAGGGGATCCTGTTGAGAATGATGAAGTGGTAGATCCAGCACCTAGGAAGTAAAGTACAAAGATCTACTTTGATCCAACTGCTAAAAAGGTTTTACTTCAATTGTATATGGTATTTTTGAATCACATTGAGTTCAGGGAGGCACTGCAAACTTACTCTATTCAGAAGGGTGTTAAATATTAAGTTGAAACCTAATGAGAAGGAAATGATAACGGCAAAGTGTAATAAAAAGGGTTGTCCTTGGCATATTCTTGGAAGTATTGATGGTAACACTAGAAACTTCAGTGTTAAAACATATTTTTATTAAGGAAAGATGGAGAAAGGCAAAACTGAGATTTTTGAATGAACATATGGGAGATTTCAGAGAGGAGTTTGCTAGGTTGTATGATTATGCTGAGCAATTAAAGACCACAAATCCTGGAACTACTGTATCTATTAGGACATCCAAGAACACAATTCCAGGAAAAGAGGTGTTTATGAGCATCTATATTTGTCTTGGTTCCTTAAAAATTGGATGGAAAGAAGGGTGTAGAAGGATTATTGGTTTAGATGGTGCATTTCTTAAAAGTGTATGTAAAGGTGAATTGTTATCTTGCATTTCCAAAGATGGAAATAATCAGATGTACCCTATAGCATGGGCAGTAGTTGATAAAGAAACCAAGGACACATGGTCTTGGTTTCTCAAGTGCATCAAACATGATTTGGAGCTTACAGAAGGTGAAGGACTAACAGTGATGTCTGATATGCAAAAGGTATTACTATATTATTTGTTAAATTTATTTCTTCATTTTTGGAGTAATTAATATTTAACATTGTTGTATGTCAAATGTTCTTTATTTGACAGGGTCTTCATCTTGCACTTATTGATGTATTGCCAAATGCTGAAATTAGATAGTGTGCTAAGCTTGTATGGGCAAACTGGAAGAAAGACGGGAGGGGTGAAGAAAGGAGAAGAAAATTCTGGCAGGTTGCCAGGGCATCATTTGAGGTACTTTTACAGTCCAAACTTGATGACTTGAGTAAGTTAGGAGTAGGCATTGTAGAAGCTTTGTTAAAGTTTAACAAAGAAGCATGGTGTAGGGCATATTTAAAGAGCATAGCAAGTGTGATGTGGTTGAGAACAACATGTGTGATCTCACACAACAATTGGATTTTAGGTGCTAGGTTCAAATTAATAATCACTATGCTAGAGGAAATAAGAGTGAAAGTTATGGAAAGAATGAATCAAATGAGAGAATTTTCAGAAAAATGGATTATTGATGTATCACCAATGGCTATGGATACTCTTAGAAAAAAGGCTGAAATTGCAAATAATTGTGAGGTAAAGTTTAATGGTGATTTTGGCTTTGAGATCCATGATCCACCATATAAACATGTTGTTGACCTAAAAAAGAAGGTGTGTAGTTGTAGGTCATGGCAATTAAAGGGAATTCCTTGTGGCCATACACTTACAACAATTCATTATAAGGATTGGGTTATTGATACATTTGTTGATCACTGATATAAGAAGGAAACATACCTAAAAGCATATAATAGGTTTATTCAACCTATGACAAACATGAAGATGTGGCCAAAAAGTGATA